GTGTCAAACTAATTCAATGACCAAGTCTAATAGGATACAGAGTTTATCACCTCTCAGGTCTCTACACCTCACAACCCAAAGATCAAGAGATACAAAATACAAGATGATGCTGCAGTAGCGAAAATACTAACCTCAGTATATTCCTGACTTCTAAAATGTTTTCACTGACCCAAACACTCTTACATGTGCTAGTACACTCAACACCAGGAACATCAACTATTGATGTCAAACCAGTGTAGGAAATCAGGCGTGGTAAACTGTAACAATTATCACAACAACTAGAATCTGCCCATTATACTTCTGAACAACTTACTGTACCCCACAAAACTCTGATTTTCAGGATTTCAGAATCATAGAATATCCTGAGTTGGAAGGGGTCCATCACGACCATCAAGTCCAACTCTTGGCCCTGTGCAGGACACCCCAAGAATCACATCATGTGCCTGAGAATGTTGTGCAAATGTTCCTTGAACTTTGTCAGGCTTGGTGCTGGGACCACTTCCCTGGGGAGCCTGTTCCAGTGCCCAAACCCACTCTGGGTGAAGAACCTTTTCCTGATACCCAACATAAACCTCCCCTGACACAGCTTCATGTGTTTCCTCGAATTCTGTCACAAGAGTGAGGAGATCGGTACCTGCCCCTCCACTTCCCATCATGAGAAGTACCTAAATGCTGTGTTTGAGCGTGTAAATCGTTAGCCTGATTTTCAGAAGTGCTGGGTTCCAGCTATTACCTACATGGACACATATTAGCACAGTGACTAACATCCATCAGATAGCAACCCTAGCAACTCAACATCTAGCAAGTCACCAACAATTTTTGGTAATTTGATCATTGTAGAAGATTAATGGTATGGGGAAGGATCCCTAAATAACTTAGCTAAGCTATAGGCTGAAAACTGACATGGAAACAAATTAAAAAGTCCCCAAACAACCCTCCCCCTCCTGCCCAAACCAAACCTATCAGAGTGGTCAAGCATTCAAATCACATTTTTTCATTCTTAATTATGGTCTGACAAAGTCTGTTTCAGTTTCTTTTCCTCAGAGATTATCCGTATTAACTCCTTAATAATTTTGAACGTGAGAAAAATACCATCCTTTAAACTTTTTTCTAAGGAAACATTGCTGGCTTTCTTTTGTTTTCTTTATTTTATTTTATTTTTGGTGGTGGTGGTGTTTTTTAAAGGTATTTTTTGGAATTTATGCCTTCTAGATATAGCAAAGAACGCAAATAATGCAAACACTTCAATGAAAACATTCTGGTATAACAAACTCTTACACATTTTCCCACCATTTTGTTCTAATTGAATGTTTCCTTCCAGCTAATTTAATTTTCATGCTGGCTTAATAGCATTATAACCAAAAATATGTTTCATAGCGGGGTTTTTTTTTACCTCTGCTACCTTGAAAACTACATCATATTTTTACTAGGATATTCTGTTTTACCACAAACCCAATCACACATGATAAGCTTTATACAAGATCCGGAAATGTATCAAGTAGTAGCATGCTTAACATTGATAAAACTCTCATCAGGAGTGGAACAATCTCCATCAGGAGTGGAACAATCTCTGCATCTTTCTTTCTGGTCACTTATAGTAACATAAAATCACGGTGAGATAACAGGGTGGGGGCAGGGGGAAATCCACTATTAAACATTGTCTTACCACAGCTAATTATTCAGACTTGTAGAATCTGCGAGGAATGTTTTCAGAAACTTACATTTTCAAAAACCTGCATGCTTCTATTGCCATTTTTCATTTTATTTCAGATGAACTTTTTTATTAATTCAGTTGACAAAAGTTCATCCAAGCGTGACTTGTTAAGCCTTACACAATCCACAGTGATCAGCTTCAGTGTGTGACAAAACTTAAAGCTTACCGAGCTTCTGAACTACTAAGCAAACACACATTGCAGAATGAGACAAATTTTGAGCTACAGCATTTGCTGTCATAAGTTTAATAAAAATCTTCTAAGCCTACTGGTGAAATGCCCATCTTCTTAAAAAAACATCACTTTTAAAAATCCTTTTAAACACAGCCACGCTACTGGCTTATATACAAGAAAGTAAGTACAAAAAGACTACACTTGGCATTTTCATATGTGATAAAAGACCACTTCTCCAGTCTATGCAGGTCTAGGCTGTGACAGCCTCACCTCCCTTGGCTACTGGATTCATCAATCCCTAATATTAAATATCTCCAAAGACTACTATACATGCTTGTACAATAAGTAGCCTAACTAAGATCTAACACTGACAACTGTACAGGAAAACTGTAATTGCAATTTTATTTACTTGACCAACTGTCTACCTATATCACAGTGCATTCCATCTATTTCTTCAATTTTGTTGAACTGAAAGATCAATTAGACTTGCTGCACTTTTCTTCAGTGCATTTGCAAAAATTGTATCTTCCTTAGGAAAATATCAGTTTCCTGGTAATAAAGTGTGAATAACATAGGCATTTCTAAGAGCGAGAACTACACTGAAGAAAGCATATTCAAAGCAGGTACGCTTTCCATGTTCTTCAGTTTATCATATTATATTTTTGCAATTCTGCAAAGTACAGAAACTTTAGCTTGTTGCTTCAGGCACACATGCACAAATGTCAGTCTATAAACAAACATATACTGCTCACATAAAACAGTGATTAGCATATGAAACAAACTTTAAAGCTTTAAGGATTTATTAACAACTAAGTACAGTTCTTTAATACATTTCTTAACATTATCAGAGACTGAAGATCTCTAAAAATATGCTGAGATCTAATTGCCCCCTGTACTATAGCAACTGACAGACTGATAAATCTGGCCCTGAAGGAATATATACTTCAGCCAAAGGAATAGAGCAATATAGAATGTGACTTGGCTGCTTATGGAATGTGTGATGAAATTTTAATACTCAGCAGGCTGAGTAACAATCTCCTCAAAGTTTGACAACAGAGAAACACTGTGGAAGGGAAGAGTTGTCCTACTTCATGGTCTAGGCATTTTATTCAGAAGCTATTGATTCTGTCTTTAATTCAAAGCCAAGAACCTGTTCCTGAAAAGAATGTAGAGTATAGTCCCCAGTCGTCTAAAAAAAATATTTCAGATCAAAGATATGTCAAAGAATACAATGTTAAAGAAACATTCTCCCATCTGCTTGAGCACTGGAAAGTCAGTACAGCAGTCAGACAGATATTTGACTTCACTTAATGTTTGAGTTAGTTCTAAGTTCCTCTCATAATTATTTACAATTTTTAAGACAGAAAATTGCTCATTTAATATGTATGGGATAAACAACTCAAACCAAACAATAGTAGATTATTACTGATTTCTCTTTAGCTGTCCAATTGTAAGCTTTCAATGTTCTCTACTGAACCATAGTATTTCAAGTATTCCTTAAAATGTTTTTAGTTGAAATACTAGAAATTGCCTACTCAAAAGTAAAACATTTTTGGGGAAAATAACAGATGTAAAATTTACATGAAATAGACTCTGTTATTCCAGGTACTAGTTTATCCCACAGACAGATTAGTAGTCAAATTATTAAATTTCTTGAATAATTGGCGTGTCAGACCTCAGTCAGAGTCAGCTCAGTGACCTTGATATCACTGATACCTCGAAAGTATAGCTTTATCAATAAGAAGTTTATTGATAAGTTCAACAAGAAAACATTTCCTTCCCAACAAGAAATCTCCCAGCATCTGTATCACTGCCTGGAATAATCCTAAAATAACAGCTTTATTTAAACATAGCTCAATATTACTCAAACATTGTTCAGACATAGCTTTCTTGAAACGCAGTCATACCATACATAAAATTTAAAGTCCTTGGGAAACGCACCTGACATGCAAATATAGTAGTGTACTACACTGCCAAATATTAGCTATTCTGTGCTTAAATAAGTCTAAGTAATATAGTTTCTCTAATGTAAAAAGTCTAAATGGTGAGACAGATCATAAAAATAAGATTTAATCTTGAGTTCTCACCTGATTTATTAAGGATGCTTATATTAAAGTCAACTTCAGGTACAGTTTCTGGTGAATCAGTGAAATATTTTTCTGACTTCTGTTATTTTAATTGAACTTACATTCAGTATTTTTGTTCCATCTTTGGCATTCTACTGAATAATTATTTTCTACTTATCATGGAAAGCAATCATTTATTTGACTGAAGTTTGAATTGCTTAAACTGAGAGACAGTAGTGATCAATACTTCTTGTATTTTTTCTACTATTATCACACAAAACTTGTCACTAGGCTTGGCATGTTATATTATGTATTCAAAAGATATCACATTTTATATTTCCACTGATAAAAAAATAATACAGGCCTATACAACATGATTTTTTACTCAATCCTTGAAACTCAAGTTCCACCATCTTTCATTTATTAGGTTCATTGAGAAAACGAAGAAATACAATATCAAGAAGCTCAAAAATGCAAAATCCCACTAAATTGACCAAGAGATGAGTCTCCTTTTGTTATAATTCTTAAGTAAACTTTCCATCCTCCAAACAATGTACCAGAATTATTTCTTATATTGAAGAAAACCAATGTGTAAAAAAAAGAGTGACACATATCATTACATTTTGATGTGGGGTCAGCAGCTTTAAGTAATTCACTCTAAACCTTTGATACCACGAATGATGAAATTAGGATTAAATAGGTTCCCAAAAGTTATCAATGCATCCATGTAAATATGAAGCTAAAAAGCTTCGGCTGAAAATTATATTGGCAGTAGAAACAAGAGTTTTGCTGATAATCCATTCAGAGTTCAGTAAATCAACAAATTCCAAATGTGACTACTATTTTGTTACTGGACAGACAAGATAAAAATTATACGAAATTTTCTTTCTATAAAGCAGGTCAAAATGCAAATTTTCAAGCTCTACTAAAATCTCATGCTCTCTGGTGTGTATTTTTGTTTTTTTCAAAAAGATTATCAAACCTGTTCTTGGTGGTAATCCATAACAATGACAAAATTTACTAAAGACATTAACAATTCGTACATTACCTAATGCTGCTCATGCTTCCAGTTTCTGATCCAAGCTTACATCTCTCCAGCTGGCTAGCTACAATCTGACGTTCAGCCTCAAGTTCTCGAGTCAGTCTCTCAAACTGCAGTTCCTGAAAAAATAAATTAAACCATTTGCTTTGACTTCTCTTGAGATTAAGAAGGAATTTCAACACATAAAAATATTATTTGTTCAAGAACTATTAGCATAATACCATATAAGGAAGCTCTCTTTTTTTCATTTCTCAATGCATTCATGGTTCAAATTTTTGTGGTGACATTTTCCTGTTCCTTCATTTACCCTAATGATGTATGCCATAGAGTGAGACAGTTTATCAGCATTTCCAAATACATTAAATAATTTAGGCCTACATAGTACACATAAGACTTCTTAGTAGCATCTTACTAAGCTTATTTGAATATGATCAAAAACAAATACAATTTGCAGTACTGAGAAACAGATGCAAAGTTCCATAGATGATCATGTGGTGACAAAAGCTTCTGTATTAAAACAGACAACATCACAGTACACAGTAGTGAAATAAAATAAACTGAAGGTGTGCTGTTATGGGCTGAGCATAGCTTAATTTCTGTATTTAATGATGCGCAGAAGGGAAACTCAAGTAATTTTGGACAAAAGTTGTACTAAAAATCCCACTACTAACTGAATGTGTTTCATTCTGTCAAGAAAACCCAACCTGTCCTACCAGATAAGATTTATCTACAGAGCTTATAAAGATACTTATGAAGGGGGTTTGGTTTTATACACAGAGATGTAATTAAAAAAAAAAAAAAAAAAAAAAAAAAAAAAAAAAAAAAAAAAAAAAAAAAAAAAAAAAAAGAGACAAGTAAACCCGAAAAACCACTAAAAGTAAAATCCCCACAGTTTCTTAAAGAGCTACATTTCCCACATATTGTAGCACTAGTTTTATCAAATAAAAAACTGAAATACTTTTAGGGAATTATGTTTGTTGCAAATTGGCTAGATGTTGCTGACCTTTTATTTCGGTCATAGTTATATTATGCCATTTTCATGAGTAAACAGAAAAAAACTCTCCTACACCTTTTCTTTGGGTTTGTTGGAGACTGAAGGAGAAATATTTTGAGAATCCACTTCTTAAATCATTCCTGTATCCACACAAATGCATCCATTATCTATTTCTCCCTCCTTTTTTTTTTTTCTTTCCAAAAATGATCTCTCTGTATTGCAGAGGTATGAGAGAGAGTCCCTTGAATAACTACACAGCAAAGTTTTTACTGACAGAACAGCAATGGAAATTACAAGTCATGACTTATGTCCACCAAGGGCCATTGAAGAACTTGGTATTTGAGAAAAAGGAAGTAGTAGGAGAAGTAGAGTAGGATTCAGAAGTCTCCATTGCATTTGCTACTTAAAACCTCTGACTAAGAAGACAAGGGTAAATGAATGCATTACACTTTTCAGATCTCTGAAGTAAGGTAAAATATAACTGAAATGGAAGAAGGGACTATACAGAGTACAAGAATACTATTAAAAGTCTGATGTAAAGACCAAAGCATCACTGCTCACTGAATTTCAACAGTGAATTAATAATCAATAGTTAATAATATTCTCTACACATTTTTGTAGTACGTGGAAATTTCTTCTTCACTGTTGTTTGAAGATAGGACTATTAAAAATCACCTAGCAATAATCACCTATTTCATATACACTTACTTCACAGAGAGCATTTCTCTCATCTAGAAGAATCAATTGTCTGAAAAGCTGAAGAGACCGCTGATCAGCTTTCCAAGAGTTATTATTCAAATCCCGTTCTTGTTTGCATAAAATAATACCCTTAATGCAGAACGGATTGTAACAGAAATATTACTAAATTGTTCGAGAATGAAAAATCAAAGCAGTACAGTATTTGCCATGCCAGCATGGTTCTATCAAAGCATGTAAGCCCTGAGAAATTTCAATAGTTTAAAATACCAAAGAAAATCAAACTGAGCATTATGTTTACTTTCAAAATAAAAGCAAAAGCTTCAACAGCTATTCTCTTCCACTGTATTTTTAAAGTTACTTGATTCGATCATGACAATGCACATTTTGGTGCTTAGCATAGCTTTTCATCCAGCCAGTTCTCTTCCCACCATCCCAGGTGAGGCAGGTCAGACATGTTCTTTGCCATGACCCAGCATGGGTATTTCTTTTACCCACCTAGTAAGAAGATGTAGCTGTCCACATAATGTTGCTAAGAAAATATAAGAACCAAGAACTTGGGAGCAAATACCCCTGGACTGTCTATGTTGTCGCTTGCCTTTTGCTAGAGAAAAAAGTGTAGCTCACTATGTTCTTTTATTCTGGTAGGGCTGCAAAAAACCATCTCTCCAGCTCACTTTTGTGCATGCCATCCCAAGCCAACCAAATACAGAAATGTTCCCAAGCCTATTTTAACAAAATACTTCAAAAGTAAATATCATTTTGCTTTTTTCCCCTTCAACTGTCTTGACTGTATATCTTCTCAGATTTTTTCTATAGTTTGTATTCCTTCAGTTAATCACTCCGGTTGACAACTTTTCCAGATGCTTCTGCATTTCCTCAACAAACACCCTTTTGTCACAACTACTCTGTCTATAGAAAATTTTTTTTTGTTCATGAGTCTGGTCTCCAAAACATACTTTCCTACTCTTCACTATGTCATTTATTTACCTTTCCTACTTATTCCTTTCTGTTTTCTTCTCCCTTCTCTCTTTCTTTCATTTTGTAGCATACTTCACGACTCATCCCCTACTAATCTCTTTCAGTCCTATTATACTAACTGCTACTCTAGCAAATGCTCTAAAGTCTCTTAAGGAGTCTCTCGCTATCATTCTGGACCCTTATTGAGGAAACTGTTCTTCCTAAGACATAGAAATTAATATTTTCTGGTTTAACTCCCACATTATTTAAATCCTGCCCTGCAGAGATGACTGGAAAAGGACAGTTGAGTCTATTTTACTCCTGAATCACTTAGGAAAGAAATAATCTTGTGTTTTTAATGCATAAAATTGGCTAGAATACATGAACAGTAATTTCATTAGTTGCTTGATTTAATTGTACTATTTCTTATTTAATCATCTTCTATCAGGTGCCATCAGAATTTAGGAATGCAAGGAAGGATACAAAAGGTGGAGAGGTGGAATTTTTGAAGAGACAAACAATCATGGCTTCAAAAATTATCCTCTACATTAAATTTAACCAGGAGCTGTGATAGGTATTCCCTCATGTGATGACAAAGGTGTAGGTCCACAGGGTTGCCTTTGGAATGAAAGAAGAAAAGAAGAATTCAAGTAGGAGTTGTGAGTCTGCTATCCCTCTGTATCAAGAATCTATGGCAGAAAACAAATAATTAAAAGTTTCCTTCTCTTTGTTTAGGAAGCAGTGAGAGTGACTAATATTTGAATAAATCCATATGTTTAGATTTCAAGCAGCTGTCACAGTGCAAGATGACAGAAACCAGAAATAGTATTTGCTTACATTTTATAAAAATAATCATTGAACCTGACTCCATTGTTTGTCTTATTTGTCTTATTTGTTGTGTTTACAATAATTTTCACCAGTTCATGCCATGTTGTGTTATCTTCACAACCTTCTATTATTTATCTGAATTAAGCTAATTGGAACATCAAAATTAAAAACAAATTCCTACTCAATGATTATGCAAATCTGTTGTCAAGACAATTGCAGAATGAAGAACAGCAGAAACTACATTGCAACATCAAAATTAATTTACTTAATGAAACATCAAGTGCAGCCTCATGGACTGTGCTACAAAATGCAGTAATTCCAAAGCAAGTGCCC